CATTATTTGTAAAAATCGAATTTTCGTTGTTGGGTAAAATAAAGAAATAAAATGACATGAGAAGAAAACCGCTCAAAGTAGCACCTACCGGCACTCGTAGCCACTGTTGGAGTAGTGAGATATGCAGCAGGATTGGGCACGAACGTCTCCATTCCTGGCAATGGAGCCAAGCTTGCCAAGACTGAATACAGAATGAGTGGCCAAAACGACCACTATCGCCTGCGATGACTTGCCTCCACCGTCGGTGGCCTCGATGACTACCTGAATAGACGATGTTGTCTACACATAAGGAGCTGCTCTTTCCTAAGGTTGCTGCGATGAATATTCGGCGAGCTTTCATCCCTTGTTGACTGCTTAAACAAGTGTATGCCTCTAGATAAAATTTGTAGCTGCAACCATAATAGGAAACAACGGCGTTTGGCTGCAAACGGCGAAACTCCAGTTCGGGGGGAGGGCACTCCATTGTGCTCTCCAATACTGAGGATAAGGATAAGAGTTTTCATGACACGTAATCGATTCATTTAAAATTACTTCTGATAAGGACCGGTGTAGTGTGGAAGTACTCCCAAGGTGCTTTCAGATTTCGGCCTGCTGTGGTCCAAGGAAATGGTCCTGAACTAGGGTATGGACATCCTTTCCTAGGCGCAAGGTGTATGTAGGAGTCCAAGGTTGACGATCACATACCAGAATTGCCTAGGATGTGAGCAGGATGTGCGGATGTAGGGCATACACCGGTCCTTATCAAAAGTGCACTTGAAATGAGTCGTTCACTATTATCTTATCCATAGGGTTCGAATCCAAAAGAGTGCTCTCTAGTACTACGGATAAGATAACATGGAGTGGCCCCGAACTGGAGTTTCACCGTAGCAACCTATGCATACTTTTAGGTAGGCAGCCGGCTGCATGATCGCCGACTTCAGGCGCGGGGTACAGAGAATGGAGTGTCCGAGAACGTTCCTATCTCTGTGTCATGAACGAATGGAGACGTTGCTGGCGCCCGCTCGAGCAAATCGACGATCAACGGGACGACAGGTGATACAGGTGATGTCATGAAGACTCATACCTACCTGATATCGCTCGCCAGGTGTGAGGTCGCCATTGACGTACAGAGTGTTGGTAGGGTCGTCGTAGCGAAACCGCCCTTCAGCTCCATTTGTCACCTATAAAAAAATATTAATTGAAGAAATCGTGAAGCATCTATTATTTGTATGAAGCTATAACAGCAGGATGAAGACCTATGCAATGTTTCGGAAACAGAATTAGAGTAACATTACCTGCAGGATCCTGTAAGAGATTTGCCCAAAGGCGCCCGAGTCAGGATCTGTCGCCAATACCTAGAAAATCTTCCTAATGTGAAATAAAAGCGGACAATGTCACTTCAGGAGCAAAACTGAGGTCGAGGTCCGACTAGGAGAGAAATCGTTTTGTATTGGAAACTTCTTTCAGAAATACATATGTTTGGAACATCATGAAGGAGAAGAAAAGGATCTTGCTCGTTGGACTGACCATGAGGAGCTTTGTGTTACACGCGTGACACGTATTCTCACTTAATAAAATTCAAATTTGTGATGAGCGTGTGAATTAATTTTTGATTAAAACTTCACTTTATAAGCACAATATTATTGGAGGAGGGGGAGGGGAAATCAAGGTTGTTGAGTCCTAATAGATCCTTAAATTTTAAGCAAAAATACCCGAAGCCCTGATTTAAGGTGCTACTACTCCAACCCTTATATGTAATCATCTACTGGATAATGGGAACGACGATCAGAGCTACTGAATCGGATCGAATCTCTTAAGACTTTGATTCGCATTCATTCCAAGAAAGCAACATAGTAATCCATCTCTGAAGGTCCTCTCTCCTTATTTTAGGAGAGCAGTATTCCGATTTCCTAGCCAAAGGCGCTTTTACTGACTGAGTATTCACTAGTCTCTCTTCCTGCTTCTGTACATGGACATCGCTCTTACCTTTACCACCGGCCTTTCATCACCAAACGTGGACACGTTGACGGTATAGATTGGCTGCTCGAATTGCGGTGGATTGTCGTTGACGTCGATGACATGAATGGTGATCGTCACCGGCTCGCTACTCCGAATCGGTACTGTGTCCACCTCTCGTGCTTGTATCTAGAATGGAAAATGTATCTGTCGTTGGACTAATAGGCAAGCACTCTAATGCAAAACAACTGTAGATACCGGATAAACATTAGGATCGCATTGCTAAAGCCGTGTACAGTTAGCGGGTCAAAAACATCAGCAAACAAACGGCTTTCAATCATGCTTTTTTAATTTTTACTCCAGCAAACAAGGCTCAAAGAGACTTTTTTTTTTGGAAAGGCGTGACTTTCTAGATCCAAATTTGTTCCAAAAAGCTGATAACATACCGCTAAAAATGGAACAAGTTTAGTTGAAGGCAGAAGACACGATGAAGGCGGAGCGATTTTCTGCACTACCTTGGGCGCGATTGTAATAATACGTTAGGAAGCGGTTTATAAGCTCGTGCCCTTTCAGCTCGCTGTAATGGCGTGGTCCACTAATGCACGCCTAATGACGTTATCAAACACGCCTTCCTCTAACCATTCCCCTTACGGCCATCGCGTTCACTTCTTTTAAGGGGAGAGAAATAGTATTTTAGAAACTATTTGGTAGTTGCTGCGACCGCTACTGTAAAAATTTTGTTCTGAAACTTATTGGATGATAAAGAAACGAACATACATTCAATTGACGACGAAGGGCTTGGTGGATCTGCGTCGATATTGGAGCATTCAAGTATAGAAACCCCCCTGATCCACGGCAATATGTTGCAACCTGGCCGGTGAACAGAATGATCTGGTAGGCTGCGTGGCGCATTCCAGGTCGCTAAATATAAACAGATTGAGACGAGCGTTGGCGCAAAATATGAAAAAAATTTGATTCATTAAAATCACAAAGAAAAGAAATTTTCAAAAAAAATAAGTACGAATACTTGTATGCGTACCAAATCCTCGTCACTGACTAATATCTGCAATGATTCCGCTTGAGGATTAGGTGACACCCGGACGGTTGTGCCGACCACTGCTGTCTCTGGCACATAACCTTCTCGGGAAGAGATCTGTAAAACGTTGAGTACGATGATTTTCAAATATATGTTTAGGATCAAAACCCTGTCGAGATGCTATTACTCATCGATGTAAAGCTCACGCATCTAGTGCTTCACAACTTTCTCCAACGCAGTAGATACTACATATACAGGGGGGAGGGGTAATAAAAAAAGACATCTTGCCCCAGTCGCACTTCGGCATTTTGTCTTCGTAGAGATTGGTAGCCGCCGTCGTTTAGCTGTTCCAAGTCAGCTAAAATCCCATCCATTTGTCCCCGCTATAAGTTAAACCGACAACCCGTTCTTTCTACCTGACCGACTTTAGAATATGACGTCATTTGTACACGCGTCCATCGGGGCCCCCAGCAGAGGCCTCATTAACCTGCTTCAACCCGACCTGGATCGATTCAACGTGGGATAGTTTCCTAGGGACATTAGCTCTAACTATGCAAACCCCCTCGGAACCCGCCCTTCGGAACCCGTCGTAACGGTACACGATCAGTCGAGAACCCCATTGAGCTCGACCAGAGCACCATGTTTCCGGGGCAAACTTTTCTGATGCCCGTCCACGTAGATGGCCACTATGAAGACTTTCTTATGAAATGAAATGCGCTCTTCAATTCTAAGTTGGTAGTACACGCTTTGAGAACTGAGCAAAGTGTGATTAAATCCATTTGAGCCTGGAGACGAAATGTCTTTTTTTTATTGGCCCTCCCCCTGTATACCGGGAAATTACTCTGACGGCTAGACGAAGATGAAGAGGGCTACGCATAAGAAAACTGAAGTTAGGCATGCAACATGGTGAGTAACTTCATCCATCTACCAGTTGTGTTAGCTTTCGTTTTCTCATTTTTCGATGATGCAGTCTATATATTATCTCAAGAGTCTACCTACTACATCTAAGTCTAGTTCCTTATTGAGTCCATCAGTGGACTGCAGGTAAAGGGCTCAAAGGTAAGGGTATACCTACCTGTAAGATAGGGGCATGTTCAGATTTAGTGGCATGTTGATTGATAGAATTCTGGTAGTCTTGGTAGCCGACGATAACTGATGGCAAACAACTGACAGTGATGAGGAGAGCAGTCGCCCAACAGCGACGTGAAGACTGAAAACTTACTGAATTGACTCCAATTTTAGAGGAAAGTTAAATTGAAATTTGTCAAAAATTAGATACGAATTTCATCACATCATTAAACAAATTGAAATCGTTCATAAAAGACCAAAAATGGCCGTAGCACGGTAGCGAAGGCAACTAATTTTCAGCTGCTTAC